CCACCACCGCCCATGCAATTCGATGAATTGATCTCTAATATCAGGGCACTTAACCTGAACACCGAAGCCTTAGACGAGATGGCACCGGAAATCACTTGGAAGGGCCAACCATTATCCATCGCACACCTTCCACATTATGATGCTCTTCACCCAACGGAGGCACATGTCGTGTCAGTTCTACGTCTCACTCCGGTACAATATCTGACAGGGAAGTACACCCTCGTCTCGGCAGCCCAAAGATACGTTCACCGAGCCCTTCCGTTCAAAAAGAGCGATGCACAAAAATTGTTGCGCATAGACGTCAACAAAGCTAGTAAACTCTGGGAGTTTTTCCGTCAAGTCCGTTGGATCTGATTTTTTTTTCTTCTTCCTTTTTTTTTCTTTTCTCTTTCTTCATTTTCTCTGGCGTTAGAATCAAAATGATGAAATTTCTTCAGGTGTCCCCGTCGCATTTGATTTCATGGGTAGTTCGGAGATTTTTGATTTCACTCAAGAAAATCGCAACAACCGACACCCATGATTTTATCTCACGCACACACACACACACACTCAAAACACACTCAAAATCACACTTTCCTCTGAATTTTCCTTGGTGGTATATGGCAAAGATGTCACCAAAAAAAAAACAAAATTTTCTCTCAGTACTTGTAAATAGATTTCACATCCATTGTATAGAGTCGGGACACTTTTTTCTTTGATATTTAATTCATGTAAAAAGTTTCGGTTAGTTTTCGTGCAAATATTCTTTCCCGTGGATGGTATGGTTCCTTTCTTTATGTGTATAGCTTTATTTCTAAGTTTTTTTATGAAATCCAAAGATTCCAAGTTGCACATCAATTGTACATCAGAGTGCATTTTTCTAAGTAGTATTGTCCAACCGAATCATCAAGATCCTCATTGGATTAGTAATAATCTTTGTAAGTTTCCAGAATATAAAAAATGTGAACAAAATACGGAATGCGGGAATGTCATTTCTTTGAATTAAAATAAAAATTAAAATAAAAAAATAAAATAAAATAAAATTAAAAATAAAATAAAATAAAATAAATTCTGTTTAAATTTTGGCATCTTGATCGACTATTGAAAGTGGCGCAATTGAACCTTGAGCGCGTGAATTAGGAAACACGTGGTACATGAGATTAGATTTAAACAAACTACTGTAAACGTTGTGACAGATCACATCCTTACTTATTGTATCTTGTGCATCACATCCAAGGGTCTAGACAATAAATTCAAAAAATTTTATCGGTGAAAGCGTTCGTTACATCGAACAAATAGTCTCGACCTTTGATGACAATGGATAAAAACAAAATGATTATTCAATCATGTGACCAAGAGCCAAACGTATTTTTTTTTGAAAGATTATGATAATCTAAATTGTCACATGACGAACGGAATGTTTTTTTTGAACACAATTTTTTTAATTTCCGCAAATAAATAAACCGGAAAGAAAAAAAAAAAAAAAAGAGATCTCAGAATGCTGCGTCCTTGGACCACATTTGTCTTTTCATTTAGAAATGCATTGCACGCCTATCAATAGTTCCCACACAATTTCTCTATACTGCATTCAATATTTGACTGTCTGAAGGATAGATGTTAAGGGGGGATTTGGCACATTTTAGCATATGCAGAAAGGGAGATGTACAACGCATTTGCTGTGCAAAAAAAAAAAAAAAAAAAAAGGTTGTTTATGTCTCTTACGCAAGCAAGCATCGAACTTTAAGGAGAAAGAGATACCTTATTTCA